ATTCAGCCACTGTTGAAACTGATCCGTTTCAACAGCGGCTGAATCTGGACGCCAGTTCCGACTTACATACAGATTCAACTTAAGAACAAACCTACAGTCCCTATCTTGTACGTAACCCGGGGACTGCCTGTACATTTTTAAAATGCTTAAGATGATGACACTCATTGCAATCTATTAAGGAACACTTAACTATTGAAAATTATAATACTGAAAACCATGCTGCAATAGACAGTCTCTCTCTCTCCCACCTTCCTCTCCCTCCACTTGGCTTAGGACAAACCATTTCAATTTCTGCTGAACTGACAGGCACAATAGGACACCTACTCACTGGCTTGAACAATCCTATCTGCTTATAGCGTGGCACTCTTTATAATGCCTTTAAATGATGGTGCCATTAGCAACATGCTCATTTACATCTATACACTTGGTTCTCTGTGCTCCCATCTGCATAGGGAGAGATAGCTCAGTGGTTTGAGCACTGGCCTGCTAAACCCAGGGTTGTGAGTTCAATCCTTGCAGATGCCATTTAAGGATTTGGGGCAAAAATTTGTCAGGGATGGTACTTGGTCCTGCTGTGAAGGCAGGGGACTGAACTTGATGACCTTTCAAGGTCCCTTCCAGTTCTAGGAGATTAGGCAATCCCCATTAATTTTAATTTAATTTATGTGTTTAAGGAATTCCCTCCTGTTTGAAATCACCTGCCAATTTTGCTTTGCTAGACTAGACTATGATTTGGAACAAGCCCACCCTTTAAATCAATCATTTTATCTATGCCCATTTCTGAAAGTCATATAATGCTCCCCTCTTCCTGTAAAAAAAAAAAAAAGTGTTTTATAATAATTGGCCCTGAATTTATCCTCATTCTTGTAAGAGAGTGATATTTCATTACATGAGCATCAACCACCCAGAGTACACTACACTTGCAAATAGCTCAGTGACATCTCACTTAAGGTCTTGAAATCACCACTTGTTCTGTTAGATGTACTGCTCTGAATCCTGCAGTTTTTCTTCTTCTATTACATAAAGTTTAAGTATGAAATATGTTGGCTATATGCTTATATTTTGTTTGATAGCGGAGTAAACTCAACAGGTAATCCACCCTGTTAACATACAATGGATTCTTTCTAGTATACAAGAGTTTCAGAGGGGTAGCCATGTTAGTCTGTAACAGAAAAAAAACTTGAAAAATAACAATAGTCTTGCAGCACTTTAAAGACTAACTTTCATCTGAAGAAGTGGGTTGTGCCCATGAAAGCTGTTGTTTAAGTGTATCCTGTACAGACTAACTCGGCTACCCCCTGAATCTTTTGAATTACTAGTGACATTTTTGTATGCCAGTGCCTTCTCCAGTGTTTACAAATATGCCAGATGGGCCTAATTTCATGTGAACTTGGTCCAGAGTATTCTCTTGTGGTGCTCAGTCAGTCAGCACTGTGTTAAGTAGATTCTCCCTGACCCCTCCCACACACACAATATATTCTTTGTGCCTAAACAGCTTGTTTTCATCTTGGGCAACCAGAAACACATCACGAGAGTGCTCATGCATAAAATCATGACAATTTAAATGTTGCTGTGAAATCATCTCCCCTGGGGTAGCATGTAGCTGTCTTTCATTAGAATAGCTCTTTGACATACCAGATATCTGCTTTTCTCCCATACCCTTCTCCACTGATAACTTCAGGACTCATCCAGTATGGAGTCCCTGTGACAGACTTCATTCCTGTGCCAGAGAGGCAGATAGTCTGAAGTCGCTTGCTGGCACCGAAATCACCTAGCTTCACATTGCCTGCTGAATCCCGTAGAATATTTGCTCCTGGAAGAAAATGAAAAATCTCTACTTTATATTCAATAAAAGACCATCAACTATATGAGAATGAATGGCATCAGCACATACTTGGTTTAACCGGTGCATCGAAAAGCTCTGTAGTAATAGCTCTGTATATGTCACTGCATAGGCTTTGCCCCTTGCCTCAGAACTGTTCTCTAGATTCTGAACTTTCATTTAAAAATATTTCTAGCCCTTACAATTGCAGAAAGAAAGCCTCAGAAATGTGAACCAAATGTAACTGATGCATTGTCATCTTCCTGCATCTACAGTATCTAAAAATTATAGTCCTGAGGCGTAACCTGCCCTATTTGTCTCAGACAAGTCTCAGAGGATGCCACAATTCCACAGCTGCATAATTTGGCCTATTTCCAAAATGCCATGGTATTCATCCATCATTTTGCTGTAGCCTAGCCAGCAAACATTTTTTCTGTCTCCCTGAGCTGCCTGCACACCCTCTTGCTCTGCAGCTCGGTTCAGAAGGGTAGTTAATTGAATTACAGTTCACGCTCCCTGCAGCATTCCCTGGAACCAAGCAACAGGGAGTTGGGAGAGCCAGAGCTAGAATCTAGCTTGCATCTAAATATCATATAGAAGTATCATATGGAAATATCATATCATTGGTAAACTAGGGAGCAAGAGGCCAGGCCAGCTAGGGAGACAAAGTGCTAAAGCTAGCTACACTTCCATCTTCCCTGACTCTTATGAGGAGAAGGAAGATTCACGCTGAGTCCAGTGGGAAACATACTGGGAGCTGAGGATGAGGCAGTGGAACTGGGTCACCTGGGAACAAAATCCCACCACTCCATGGTGGACGGGTCCAGGAAGTCCTCTAAAGGACTCATATCCCTCCAGTGGGAAGGGTAGTCAACTGACCTAGAAGTCCCGGGCTCTGGACTGGCTGATGCTGCGTGCCCCATTGTAGAGTGCACGGAGGACGCATGCCTGGGCGGGGACTGACCCCTATTAGGCCTCTTCTGGAGCGGTACCGGCGACTGGGAATGACGTCTGGCCCTGTGCGGTACCGCGGAGGTATAGTGTGCGGAGCTGTCATGCACCGAGGCCAGTGCGCTGTTGGAGCTCAGTGTCAAGTCTGGTGCCGGAGCCAGCCGGAGTGCTGCCTCCATCAGAAGCTCCTTGAGCCGCAACTCATGCTCTCGTTTGGTTCTGGGCTTAAACGCCTTACAAATCTTGTATGCGTCTGTAATGTGCGATTCTCCCAGGCACTTCAAACACGATGAGTGTGGGTCACCACATGGCATAGACTTGTTGCACTTCTTGCAGGGCTTAAAGCCTTGCGGGTCGGGCATGCCCTGTCGTGGGTGCACGGCGCACCGCCACAAGGTAAAAAGAAAACTACAAATGAAAGTCTTTAACTAAATTAACAGGTACTTAACAGATGATTGCTGACAAGGAGAATAACAGTGAAGGGAACGACTCAAAGACGAGCTGAGGGTTGTTCCAACGACCGTCATGGCGATAAAAAGGAACTGAGTGGGTGACGGGGCTAGCAGGGGTACATATGGGCCAACGTATTGACACCACTCCAAGGGGCTCCCTGCTGGCCCTAAGGGTACTGCTGAGGGAAAGTCTCCAACGGTGCGGGCACGCTGTGCGCACACACCTATATCGCAATGCACATGAGCAATCACTCGAAGAAGTAGAACTTACTCCTCTTCTGAAGAAGTGGGTTGTGCCCACTACATGTTTTGTTAGTCTTTAAGGTGCTACTAGTCTATTTGTTGGTTTTTAAGTTTTTCCTGGTACAGACTAACTCGGCTACTCCTTTGATCCTCTCCTTTACTTACCTTTAATATCTCTATGTACAATCATATTACTGTGCAAATAGTAAACTCCCTCCAAAATCTGCCGTGTGTATTTTCGTGTCACATTCTCTGTGAGTGCTCCATATGCTTTTAACTGGTCCTTAATGGAACCCTGCGATCAAAAGAAAAAGTATTAATTACAGTACATTTAAGAATACTACAATAATTTCTTTCAACCACTATTAAAAAATAACTATGAATTCTATGAAGTTTGTACCAGAAATTTAGAAGTGAAAAGTTCTTCTGTGGATCAGCTTTACCTGGAGCTAAACTAAATGACTGAGGAGCGTTTAACAGGAGCATAATGTTACCAGACAATGAACTTTAAAAATATCAAGTAGTGTAAATGCTGCTGAACTGCTATCCAGGTAATACAGGTATTTTCATTCTAAGCCCGATTTACTAGTTACATGATATTGTGTTTGGCACAATACATGACACCGCCACTGGCAGTACACAATCCATGTTAGAGAGAAATGCACTGGAAAGCCCAGAGCATGACATTTTAAAAACATTATTTGGCAAGTTTTTGGTCTCAATAAAACAAAATGCAGACAATTGGTATTAAAACAAATCTCTGTCTACAAGTGATATTTTTCTACATATCTTAATACAATTTGGATTGGCCATTTTAAATTATGCAAATGTAAGGGCTTAAAAAGAAACAGTATCAAGACAAACCACAAAGCTAATAGATCTTTTAAAACTGCATACTTTGATACTCTGTCCTCAAGATCTTAGAACATTTTACAAGTCTCTAAAATGAGATCATCTCATCTAAAATCAATGTTTTTTTCTGTGCAGCCTTACAAACTAGAATGCGGCGATTATTTATGAACACTTCGGAATGCATGAAACTACTGCATCTCTCACTGTTCTAAATTTTGTTTGTTCTATTTTGTGAATACATGAAAATCTGCACTTTTCAGAAAGCAAAACATTTCCATAAAGGAGACAGGAGAAACAGTACAACACACCTGTGGCCCAATAAAAGGACAGCTGCAAGATCTAGTTTTCAATTTAACTTCGGCTATTGTTAATTAATTTTTGCCTTCTCGTCTTTGATTGGCCTCCAGAATGAATGAGTAATAGTTCCTAATATGCTAAGTGAAAGACCTACACCTTAGAATTCAAGCTTGATCTGTTTTTTCCCCATGTCAACAGGAATCCTACATACTGCGATAGAAAACTTATGAAGGGGTTATCTGGCTCAAGGGGGAATGTTAAATTTGAGATACATGTTTAAAAGTTGTTTTAGAAGACCACAAAATTTTAAGACATTTGTTGCAAGAAGCAATCAGCCAGAAGTTCTCAATTATTGTACTCTCTAAATTATTCTAATTAGGAATTAATCTAAGCAAATAATACAGTGGGCAGTCAAATCTTATTATAAATTTTAGAAATGTGCATCTGTCTGTGAGCCTGTTTATTCAATATCTTTTCCTAAATGGTAAGAGTTATGACCACCACATTTGGTATGCTTCCTCTTATTACAAAGCCAAGTCAGGGTTTGGTTATGTCAGGATAATGCTCTCCTCAGAGCAGCCTACTTATTGATTTAAATGAAGAAAAAACCTTATTTGAGTTAAGGACGCAAGCAAGGTCGGGTAAATCTAATCATGTTATAACACACTTGTCTGTCTTTGGTCGACCATTCATCAGGCATTTCCTTAATCGTGTGTGCTCCTGAAATCCATTTATGTTTGGCACGCATTCTATAGAAATGATTGCCATCAACAATCTCGGTTGCTTACCCCAGGCATGTATTCCATGAATATAGAGAGAGTCCTTTCTGGGGGATCCTTCAAGCAGCCATAATACTGAACAATTCTTTCATGCAGCAGATTTTTCAACAGCTGAATCTCACACTCAAGTGCATTTACCTCCTGCAAAGAATACCTTTTAAACAAATACTTCATATATATATATATATATATACAAAGCTTACTAAAGTTGAGAGATGAAATCATTTAACACAATTTCAGATTTCTGTTAATAAGACTGACTTTGAAAAGTTTTTGATAAATCTGGATTGAGCCCAGGGTTTATTCTGCAGTTTTTGTAAAATTAACACATTTTCTTGTTAAAAAAATATCAGTGTTAGAATGAGGGAGAACAAATCTACAGCATAATCTGAGAAATGTTTGACTTCTGTAAATTCTTTAGGGATATTTTCCAGTTATGTCAGTTTCTTTTGATTTCAAGACTCATTCTCTCTCTCATACTCAGAAACTAGAACCTGTCAAGGAGCTTATTTTAAAACGTCACTGAAATCAAAGAAGCTCTACTGTAATATGTTGCAAGTTTTCAGAGGGATGAAAAATTGTCAAATTCATTCTTTCTTTAGGTATCACTTGAATTAGTTTTTAAAAGCTTATTTCAAAGTTTTTCCAATAAGCAGTGTATTCATAAATCTACACTGTATTTCACAATTTCCTACTTTAGTTTTGTTTTTTCCTCCCAGCTACATTTTATTTATTTATTTTATAGCATGGAAGTGTCGTTTATTCCCTGCAATAAGTTTCCCTGTAATAAATTAATTAAAAAGTGGCCGTGATTTAGAGTTTTAAAGCATTTCAGAGACTCCAGGTGGAAGCCCTTCATCAAAAGTTGGTATCTATCCATCACAGACCACTTGTAGTGCTCCAAAATCTGAAGGAGATAATTTTCTTGATATTGCCAGGGGGTGTTACAAGTAGTAATGACAAGTGTGGTATCTTATGAAAAGTAATTTCTGCATAAATGGCATCATATGGTCTCTATGTTTTCCAGAGCAAACTGGATATTTTTACAATAATTAGTTTTTAAAGCTTCAGCACTTAAAACAAAAAACAAACAGTTGCAAGTTGCTTCTGGAAAGATAGATTAGTGTCCGGCCAAAGCAAATATTACCCTGTCTGGGGTATAAATATGCTCTCTCCCTTCATTTTTGCAGCCTAGAAAAACAGATGAGCATGCAGCTGCTCTACTTTTTTGGGTCTTGTGCACTGTATAAAATATCTTCAGGGTTAAGTTTCTTGTAATCTCTGTAACCTGCTGATTTAGAAAGTTTGTAGTGTAGAAAGTGTTGATTCAGTTAGAAATTCCGTAAACAGTAATTGGAGCAGGTGTAATTGTATTCATTATTTGCTGATTAATATCCATTTTATGGGAGTTAACATTACTAATAAGGTTTTAGAAAAAGTAGAGAGAGAGGTGTGAATTAATATACTAAAATAGATAAAAGGGTGTAATTGTTGCCAATCTGTTTCCACTTGGATGTTATGTTGAATGTCCGAAGTAAATGTGCGTGGGCAATAAAGCAGTTCCGTTTACCCCATCTGCTCCTGGGTCGCCGGTTTCTTCTCTAACACAAGTCAATCTTTATTACTTCTGATAGCGTAAGAGCTAGAGATAACTGAGTGGACAGATGGAAGTTAGCCAGCTAATTCTGCAGATGAATGAAGTCCAGCCCACTCTCCCTACAACTGTACTGACTACAATGTCAATTTGTACGTAACTGCAGTCTTATCCATTTAACTGTGTTCTTTATCATAACATTCTCTATTGGCTTCATTATAAAACAAAGCTAATGTAGCCTAGTCCCTATATTTTCAGTTTACTACTAATATTTCTGAAGTACTTTCCATGTTAGAATATTGTTTAGCTTTGGTGGTGCTGAATTTGATAGTACACACTACTTTCATAGAGATAGCTCTGCAGATGAAATTCATGTGCAATGTAACACTAAACAATCAACTGAATTATTTTCATAAAGATTTTAATGAAACAAGATTATTTTTATTGTGTAGACTCACAGAAGTATATGTCCTCAAACATTCATAAAATTAAGAGAAGCAAAAAGCAACATCAATTTAGACATTCAGAAAACCATTCTTACAGTGATCCCTTCAAAAATATTTTTCTCGGGGGCTCTTACCTTGCTGGTCTCTGGACTGTCAGGGTCAAATTGAACTTGTTTAACAGCCAATTCTCTTCCGGTATCAGCATCATAACATAGATATACTCTGCCAAAAGCACCCTGACCCAGCAGCTTGCCAAGTCTCCAGTTAGTCGGAGCTCGTGGTGCTGAAAATATAAGTGTGTTTTATTTTCACAACAGCTTCTTAGTCAGTTGTTCCAGAAAAATTGGGAAACAAATACAATTTTTGGAAAAAAGTCTGAGTTTTAATTAAAAAGCATGAATTTACAAAATTTCCACTAGAAAAAATGTGTTCCTGTCAGCTACCTAATCATCTATATTTTACCCATAAAAATACATTCAAACTTAGCAGCACAAAATACAAACACCTTGGGTACTTACTAAGAGCTAATCTGACAAGAAGACTAAAATATATTTTACCACTCTGATATTTTAAGAATGCCCTATAAAAAACACAAGTTGTGATCTACAGTAACTACAAGGTATACGTACCTGGTATTAACATATACACTGAAACACCATGCTAATTCGGTCTCCCATTTACTACCATCCCCCAAAAAATTGACCCATAGCAGCAAGAATAAATAAAGAGAATACTTGAATGGAAACGTCTTAACTTTAGGTCCAGATGTACAACAACATTATTAAATGTTAAGAAAATCTGAAATGATTAGTTATAATTATAATGTAAATCTATGATAATATCAACATATTAATGTCATAATAATGTTGTATTTTAGTAATTTTGCCAGTTCTGATCTACTAAATATTTAACCAGTTATTTTTTATTTTCCTTTGAAGACCGTAATGAGCCTTTTTAACTCACAGCGGCTAGGAGGGCTGATGTCCATTACTGACAGGGTAGGGTTTTCTATGTCACTTCCCCTTCTTCTCATTCGGTTATCTTCATACTCTGGAGTAAAGGTGCTGCTCCCACTGCTTGTACTCAGTGAGTGATCAGTGGGACTGAAACTGACTGGAGATCGGAAGCTGTTTCCCTGGGTCCTTCTGGCCCTAGGAAAGGTTTTACGACCTGCAATGATGCACAAAGACTACCTATAATACGGTACCATGAAGAATATGTACTAAATAATACATGTGTATACGTACACTACATGAAGTGTGCATTGAAAACATAATACAATTCAAATCTTCCATATACTATAACAATGATAATGAAAGTTACTGGTTTAGCCTGCTGAGAGGGAATGTATGCAGAATGTCTATACATCTTATGACCAAAGACACATGACAGTTCTAATGGCAGGCATCCTCAAACAGAGAGTGTTCAAGTTCAGATGAAGATAAAGGCAGTTTGTAATGGAAACTTTGTGAATTGCTTGCCTGTAGAAGTTTCTTCCTACTTCTCACTGATTAGTGGTTGACATACCCTGAAGAATGAGGATTCTCTCCCCTCTTTTTTCTCTAATGTAACGCATTATTTGAAATACAATACCTTCCAGCAATTAGTTCCACAGGTTAATTATGCACTAAACAAACAAGTATTATTTATGAGTTTTAAATTTATTGCTTTTCAATTTTATGATGTATCCTTCTCTTTTATTATGAGAATCAGTTAAGAGGAGCAACAATTTAGGCACTCTATGCCATTCCAGACTAAGAATGAAAGTGACTCAGACTACTGCAAGTGCTTAAATGAATGTTTGTGATAACATTTAAGCGTGGTTTACCTTTATTTCAGAGAAAGAACACCTGTTTGCCTTTCTTTTCGACATTTTCTGATTATACTGTACAACTCTTTCAACTTAATTTAAAAAAAAGATAAATATTGAAACTGTTACAGTGTCCCATACTCACCATCATTGTAATCTTGGTGATGATATGAAATATGATACCTTCGGGGATAAGTCCCACCTTTTCCAAATTTCTCAAATATTGGGATATCATAGTCTATAGGGAACAAAAAGAAAACATTACCACAAGCTGCAAAATTAAGCACGAGGAAAAATTAATAAAACAAACCAAATTTTAATCAGTCTTACACAAGTTTTAAAAAAGCAACCCTACACAATGATTAAGTGGACTGTTTTATAAAGACACTTCTAAACTAGAAGGCTGTGCATATTGTGGCAAATGGCCAACACTATCATGGTGGGTCCTGCGCTTCTTCATGTGATGAGTTAAGGTGCCACCTCTTCAACAACCCCACTAGTGTCCTGATGGGGGAGGGAAGGAGAGCAGGAAAGAGATCCAGGCCCTCTCTCTACTCCAGGTTCCAGCCTAAAGGCCCTATGGACAGTAGCTAAGCTCTTGAAGCTGTAATTCTTTCCCTCTAGGCTAGCTCCCATTCTTCCCCCTCAGCTTCTCAGACTTCTTGCCCTGAAGCCCCACCCCACTTTGGGCAGAGCTTCTCTTGGTCCTCTAATTAACTGGGAGTAACCTCTCCTCAGTTCACAAGGAATAAGGCTCTGATAATCCTGGGACTTGTAGATCTCTCATCTATCACTCTCCTGCTGCTCTGACCCTGCTGTATTACATTCTAAAGATCAGTGATTTAACTTTCAGCCTACTAATCAGATTGTGGTAGTCCCTATAAATGATAAAACAGTAAAGCATCCACTCAAACAGACTGCTATCTGTTTCTAAGCAGGGACAAAATCACAATACCAGTACAAAAGAAAATTATTTCTCTTAATAGATTTTTCCTTCAATCAACAAGTAACCTTTTTATATGAGAACCTTAGTAAATAATGCTATGTGGGAATTTTCTACATGCAATGTCAAAAGCAATCTCCTGCTTATGTTAAATGGAAAAAAAGATTCACGGCTCTTTCCGTAAAAGTATTTATAAGGTATCTACAGACTTCATGTATATGGCAACACTGTGCATATCTGATTGCTTATGGGTTTATCCCAGTGTCTATGACTAAAATTTCCTATTTGCCACTGGTCTATCCAGCTGTCTGCCTTCTACTACCCTAGAGTTCACTAGCATAAGCATGGTCCCCATCACAAGCAGGGCTGGTTGCACCCCCTATTAAGGCTGTCCAACACTTCCAATTCTAAGATCCTGGTTTTCAGTTTCTTACACCCTGCCAAACTAACACTTGGGCTGATATTTCCTATGCTAGGTGTCCGCCTCAGGCTCAGTTTGTCTGGAAAATTTCTGCCAAAAATGGTTTACATGTTTCTGAGAATGAAGCTGGGGAAATAATTCTTTAACTATGTTAAGAAATTCTGGTGACTTTATTTGAAGTGCTCTAAAACTGTGGTCACCAACCAGTCGATTGGGATCTACTGGTAGATCTTGGAGCCTCTGACAGGTGATCCTGACTGGTTTGGCCAACAGGCTATTATCAAGTGCCAGCACTTCAGCTGTCTCTCCCCCTACTGCTGTGCACCTTCTGTCCTTTGTATTGGAGCTGCCCCTCCCTCTGGGGAGCCTCCTGTTTTCTGTGCAGGGCAGGGAGAAGAGGTTCGCTGATGTCAAGGTGCCCCCTCTCAGTCTGTATCCTATCTCCACAGATATCAGAGGGGTAGCCGTGTTAGTCTGGATCTGCAAAAGTGACAAGGAGTCCTGTGGCACCTAATAGACTAACTGAAGTGTTGGAGCATAAGCTTTCGTGGGCAAAGACCCACTTTGTCAGATGCATGTAGTGGAAATTTCCAAAGGCAGGTATAAATATGCAAGCCAGAATAAGGCTAGAAATAACGAGGTTAATTCAGACAGGGAGGGTGAGGCCCACTTCTAGCAGCGGATCTGGAGGTGTGAACACCAAGAAAGGAAAAACTGTTTTTGTAGTTGACTAGCCATTCACAGTCTTTCTTTAATCCTAAACTGATGGTGTCAAATCTGCAGATGAACTGTAGCTCAGCAGTTTCTCTTTGAAGTCTGGTCTTGAAGTTTTTTTCCTGCAGAATGGCTATCTTTAAATCTGCTGCTGTGTGTCTAGGGAGACTGAAGTGTTCTCCTACAGGTTTTTGTACATTGCCATTCCTAATATCTGATTCGTGTCTGTTTTTTCTTTTACGTAGGGACTGTCCAGTTTGGCCGATGTATACAGCAGAGGGGCATTGCTGGCACATGATGGCGTATATTATGTTGGTAGACGTGCAGGTGAATGAACCAGTGATGGCATGGCTGATCTGGAGACAGACTGGGAATTGGGAGCTGGAATTTAGTGTTAGTGAGAGACACAGGAGAGGGGTGGAAAGAAGAGCTGGAAGCTGATTAGGGAACACTGAGACTGGATGAGGATCTGGAAAGAATGGGACACGGGATGAAGGAGGAAGTGGGGGTAGGGATGGAAGGCTGACATTGAATAAGGAGCCCAGTGTGGGAGACTGGGAGCCAGTGGTGAGGCAGGAGAAAAAAAATACAGATTAGCTGAGCAGCCAGGAAAGGACAATTATGGGGGCAGTCTGTGCTAAAAGACTGGAGAGAAGGAGCTGAGACAGGAAGGGAGGAACTGGAGTTGACTGAGTAGGACAGGTTGCAGGGAATGGGGCAGAAGAGGCCAAGATTAGAGGGAGTGGGTCCAATAAAAGGACACCTTTGCGAGAGCCTAGAGCCCAAGATTCCAGTCTTATCATTTTTGCTGTCAGCAATTACCTGTGAACCCCACTGGCACAGTTTGTGTCTTATCTCCCTTTAGTGCTGGTCCATACAGAGGTTGACAACCCAATACTGTTATCATTCACTCTGTTAGCCCAAGGGGCAAAGATGTGATGGATCTAAAGGTTCTATATGATGCCAGTTAATGGAATCAGAGAGACAGGCAGAAAGAGAACAGTGAGAGTACGTCTACACTGCCACCCTAGTCCGAACTAGGGTGGCTAATGTAGGAATTCGAACTTGCAAACAAAGCCCGGGATTTAAATATCCTGGGCTTCATTTGCATGTTCCCGGGCGCCGCCATTTTAAAATGCCCCATAGTTCGAACTATCTGCAAGGAGGTATTCTTCCTGCAAGGTGGTTTAACAGTAGTTCGAATTAGGAGCTTTAATTCGAACTACCTAGTCCGTGCCGCGTGTAACCGCAGGCAGATAGTTCGAACTACGGGGCATTTAAAAATGGCAGTGCCCGGGAACATGCAAATGAAGCCTGGGATATTTAAATCCCGGGCTTCATTTGCAAGTTCGAATGCCTACATTAGCCACCCTACTTCGAACTACAGTGGCAGTGTAGACATACCCTGAGTGTGAGTGTGAGTGTAAACATAAGAGATTTTTTTTAAACCTACGAAAATTCAGGTTGCAGAGTCAAGCACACAAAAACTAGAAAGTCAGAATTAAGATTGCCTGTGCCACCTTATGTGTACGAAATATAAAAGTCTTTAAACAATCGTATACTGTTTCCCCCCCTCCCTAAGGACTCCTGCTTTCTTCAGTACACGAACCTGCACTGGGTACGAATCAGGGATTTGTAACGAAGCAGGCTGTAGGACTATTGCCTCTTTTGTTGAAGAAGCTGGAAGGCCTGTATAGTGACTGAGACAGGAAATTGCAGGAAGAGAAAGGAAGATCCCGTGGTTAAGGCAGATGAATGCAGCCTCAGAAAACTGGATTCTATCATTGGTTTTGTCACAGAGTGTGTCCGACGCCAAGCAAATCATTCAAATCAAGCTTTTCGCAGGTGGCCACTGATGATGTGCACCTCATTTTCCAGGTGTCTGACTTGAGACTGCAGAGTCTGATTTGCAGAAGTTCTGAGCATTCACTACTGTAACTGAAGTCAACTGGAGTTGTGCTTCAATATAAAAACTAATGCATAATACTAACTACTCTGAAAAATCAGTTCTAGGCATCTCAAATTAGGCACCCACAATTAGTTAACACTTTTGAGCTTAATCTGTGCTTCAGTTCCCCATATGTAAAATGGGGAAAATACTATCTTGTCATTTCACAGTCATTTTGTAAAGATGTTTGTGAAGCAGGTGGACACCTCTGTGATGACGTCAATGAAAAGCCCATGACAAAATTAATAATCTGTCTTCACAGAAGGGTTTGAACAGTGTGCATGAAGTAAGGTCTAGGACCATATGCTGAACAAGGGGGAACAAAATAGTAATATTAATTAATTGAACATCTATTCCATACATTGAATGATGCATGGGACATGAGGTAAAAATACAGAAATAAGGGCTCAGAGAGGTTAAATTCAAGGTTACACAAATGTTCTATGAACTGTGGTCTAGCTCCGACTCCTAGCCTCTGTGCACTGGACAAAGGTGCATCTCTTTCCGCTCTACTCTGCACTGGTTAGGCCTCAGTTGGAGCATTGTGTTCAGTTCTGGGCACCGCATTTCAAGAAAGATGTGGAGAAACTGGAGAGGGTCCAGAGAAGAGCAACAAGAATGATTAAAGGTCTAGAGAACATGACCTATGAGGGAAGGCTGAAGGAATTGGGTTTGTTTAGTTTGGAAAAGAGAAGATTGAGGGGGGACAATGATAGCAGTTTTCAGATATCTAAAAGGGTGTCATAAGGAGGAGGGAGAAAACTTGTTCATCTTGGCCTCTGGGGATAGAACTAGAAGCAATGGGCTTAAACTGCAGCAAGGGAGGTTTAGGTTGGACCTTAGGAAAAAGTTCCTAACTGTCAGGGTGGTCAAACCCTGGAATAAATTGCCCAGGGAGGTTGTGGAATCTCCATCTGTGGAGATATTTAAGAGTAGGTTAGATAAATGTCTATCAGGGATGGTCTAGACCAGTGGTCTCCAACCTTTTTACACCCAAGATCAATTTTTAAATGGCAGACCAAGCCAAGATCTACCACCCCGACCCTTCCTTGAAGCCCCGCCCCTTCCTTGAAGCCCCGCCCTCTCTATTCTCCTCCTCTCCATCACTTGCTATCCATCCCCAATCCTTATACTGCTGCTTATTTTTTTTTTTTTTTATTCTTCTGTAGGAAGAGGTTTTTCCAACATTTGGCCTGTCTACACTGGACCAAATGTCAGGAAAAAAAACCCTTCTTTTGGAAGCCACCTTATTCCTTGTGGAAAGAGGAATATAGGGGTGACTAAAAGAGCCTGTTTTCTCTTCCACTAAAAAAGCGGAAGAACAAACGCAACCTTGGATGCAGAAGAGTTTTTCTGGGATATCTCCAGAATCCTGAAAAACTCCTGCAGTCTAGCTGGACCTTTGCTGTGTTGAGACAGGATGTGTAGGCTCTGGGGTGGGAATGAGGGATTTGGGTGTGGGAAGGGGTGAGAGGTGCAAGCTCTGGGAGGAAATCTGGATGCAGGAGGAGGTGGAGAAGGGGACACTAGGCTGGGCAGTGTTGGGATACTAAGCAAGCCACAGGCTTGCGGATGTGAGGGTGCAGGAATTTGGCTTGGGATATGTGAGGGGCTGAGGGCATGAGGTTCCAGTGTTTGATCTAGGGTCTGTGGAAGGGGGAGTGCAGGAGTGGTTGTGGCCAGATGGGGGCTTGGCCCCAATTAGGGGTTTGTTGGCCAGGCTTCATTTTTAAATAGAATACTATGTTAAACACAAAAAGTTTCTGCATTGTCTTTATTTATGAGAATGG